GTAATTCGTGGTTGTACGTGGGCTGGGATACTGCCAGGGCGCCCACACCTAGACAGGAGGACGATTAGGGTCCTCAACCAAAGCCTTTGGCTCAAAAGCCTAACCGCCAGACAGCGGTGCTCGGCTGGAAATGCAAGCATATTACCATTTTTTTGCGGAACACGTCGCCATACATGTTCCAACTCCAACCTGGAGGGCCAGGACACTGTGTTCGTCAAACCTCTACCCGTAGACCAACCTGGTATGAGAGACTCTGTGAGCATCGTGCGGACACTCCCCAGTATAGCTCAATGAGTCGCCGAGGTACACAAACCGCCACACCACGGTAAGGTCCAGTCTCTTCGTGACGGACTTCGGCAAACGACGGTTAGGCATACGGAACACATGTCCTAACCAACGCAGCTTCTAGTGCTGGATACATTCTTCGATGGAAATCCCCATTGCACAACCGAAAACTCGCTTTATGACTGCCTCGTAACGGATTCGCCGACACCAACTCACACGAGCCATAGTTCCAAGACGATTGTCGAACACCTGAAGATGTCTCAGTTCCGTTGCTCGGATAGGCCAGGTCTTACAGCCATACAAAACAGCCCGCACTGTAGCTTGATACACACGTCCAGGAATAAACCACTTTGACGCCATAGGTGTCGCAACTTAGCAAACGCGACCCGTACCTTGCAAATTCGTGCATTGACCTCACCTACCACACTACAATTAGAACTAATACAACCTCCAAGATACGTGAAACGCTCCCATTGCATGCCCTAAAAGTGATTCAAAGATGGACAAGCATGTGCAAACTGATCAGTAAGTGATGGTTAACGCTAATTGATATGGAGTTTTTATGAGTTCTGTTTGGAAAAGTGGCTAGGCACTCATCATCCGATGAATAGTCTATCCGCTAAAAAGCATGAAAAACTAAACAAACAAACCTTTGTGAAAAGAATGCTTATAAGGAAGACGGTGGACCCTTAGGGGAAAATCCCATCCCAGTCCGTTATACTGAATCGCCTAACACATTCAGTTAGGAGTCATCTATAATACCATCTATAACCATTGTCTATTGGTCTCTAGCTCGGAAAAATGAGAACAAAATTCATCAATATAAAGGGGTACGGAAAACGGGTGAAGACTAAAGTAGGGGACTGACCTTGAAATATTGACGAGCGATAGGCTTTTCATAGAAAAAAAATCGACATTGGGACCCGATAAATGCAAGTTTGAACCTACTGACCGCATGGGTGTTCATGAGTTATTTTACGTAGCAGATAAATACTAGTCACATGAGGTGGACGAGCGTCCTACTGGTCATAAAAACTACCAGCCCGGTGAGTTTTATTAGACAGACAAACGAACTTACAGGGTCTTCACACAACGGATAGGAGGACATATCCATTAAATAGTTATGCAGTCGAGATGTTGCCGGTATCAGTCGTGCAGGGTCCAATCGGCTGTTGTCCATGAGCAAAGATGCACCTCCTTGAATCCGTTCGTTAGGGCACACTTGTCGAAGAGGAGTAACAGCCAAGCTATGGGTCATCAGGTTATCACCTAACTTCCCTTGCTGTCCACCAAGATCTCTGTTTCTAGCCCTGAGGATCCGATTATCGGTTTTACTATGCGGATTCATGGAAGAATGAAGACGAGAAACCTCCAACGTGGACATATCCGGATGTCGCCGAAGAGGAGGGAGACTATAAATGAGTGGTCTGGTTGACAACGGTGCTTGTGCACTTCCAGGAAGAATCGCCGACTTAGCTGATGGTACAGGAGTGATGGTATCCTCTTTAGAACTTTCAGTTGGTGGGGTTCTTACGGCCGGAGCCAGACGTTCCGTTAATTGATTAGTTTCGAACGCCACGTTCGTCGGAGATAGTGCAGACAGGGCGCTAGGAGACTTTGCACGAACATGGGCAACTGTGGGTGAGATTATATCCATGGCACTATCAGACAAGATAGGCTCCAGTTGCGCCGATTGCTCATCGGTAGGGCAAACAGACATATCCAAAGACTGGTTGGACGCTGTAGGCGTGATTTCCATATCAACAAGCTGTGAAATGACTGGGGGATGTTCTTCTGGGTCTATTAGTCCTGACATATCGGACATTTCTGAGACGGCTGATGAAACCATATTTGACACCAACCCTGTTGGCTTGGAAACTTCGGTCAATTCATCTGAAACAGAACTGGAGCAACAGATGAACAATGCGCATTGAAGTTTAGCAAAGTGCACGGTAAAAACCCCGAATAAGGAGTATTCAGCATTTAGGAATAATTTCGAATCCCCCCATTGACTTATCATCTGAACTAACCCTAATAATTAATGAGACTGGGCATAACCAGATAAAGAAGGGAAAACAAACACACTGGGCTACATTGACTGGTTTTGCTTAGTCTCCTAAAGAAAATACATCAAAGGACGTCGGAAGAGGTCTCTTGTGAAAAATTACCCCTTTTGGGAGAGCTATTGCCATTACCACAGGCACTTTATGCAGAACACCAAAACAGTGAACCTCTACCCCCGGTTGGATGACGGTGATTTTTTGGGTGTAAAAAGATGGGTACATTTGAGGCTCAGTTCAACATAACCACCTAAATCTTATCTTCTTGGAGCGTTTGAAGTGCGAAGAGCAAGTCACAGGTGAAAGCCTGTGCTCTTTGTACTTCTAGTTTACCCAAACAAAAGTACAGTTAAAAGGATATCGGCAGTCTGCATGTATTCGAATACGCCTCCTCAACGAGCGTGGGGATGATTCAACCACTTGTAGGCTGAACAGTGGTCAATACAGTGTGGTCGAAAGGTCTGTTCTCCGATACACTTATTGGGTGTCCGTTCGGTCACCTAGATTTTCGAATTTTGATCAAGCATTGGTTAATTGCATTCACCTTAACCTCATACAACAAAGACCACCTAGAGACGCAACACAATTTACCGAGGCAGGCAACTGCCATCAGGCCTATATTGCCGTAATTTCATGAAAGTGGTTCTTGTTTGATATGAACTGATATTTCAGCATTTGCGGATAGAGTATTCGTGAAGTTTGACAGGAAAGAGTTAAGATAACAGCCAAGCGCATGACATGGACTTGCATAACTCTCATAGTGAGGTCATACTTATCGTACACAAACATTTTGCTGCGTTCAGCTGTAACACCCTTACAGTGCCTAGCCGTCATGCCACCCAAAGGAAGCACAGGGGCTAGGATACTGCCAGGTTGCCAAGCCTAGACAGCGGGAGTCGAGAGGCAGAGGTCGGATTCGAACCACTGACCTTCCTGTCGGTAAATTCCCGCTCTAACCACTGAGTCATCTGCCCACTTTTTGCCACACCTTGGTTGCAATCATGTTGTCATTTTAGTCCATATGCAGCGGTCGGTGCGACAGCCAGGCTACGCTTCACAGCGACCAAGAGATTCGGTCACTGACCGACCGAGAGTAAGTGGCATGCAAGTATAAATCACACACATGTTGTAATCAATCCTCATGAGCTAAAATTTGGGACCCTATGTAAGTGGAAGTTCCTTCTCGGAAACCGACTCGTATCGCTGATCTTAGAGACAACTCGCTCGTCTGCAAAATGTAGCCACGGATGAGCGGAAGAGGGAGGGTAAAAAATTTATTCACTTATTTATTTACTGATAACCAAAGCAGGACAGTGTGGTAAACCCTAACTGCATGCGACTGATCCGAATGGGAAACAGGGGACTCAAAACGAGGCAGTTAAGTTAAAATGTATGAGATGCTGCGGTGGTCAATCACGCAAAGTACCTTGGTCACACTAATAGGGATCGACTGCGGACCACTGGCAAAGTGGTTCCTATCGAGGAGATGACTGTACCACTAGAAAGTGGAAAGAGAACCTGTGGGATGCTGTGTTTGACAGTTTGAACTGACGTACTGTGATGTGGCTATAATGGGCAGTAAACTAGAATGAAATGCGAGGCGTAAAAACAATGGATTCAAGTTTCAGTAATGCTTTCACCTAGCATTAGCGTCAGTCTCCTGTTTAGTGTCGTCCATTGAGTTCGTTCGGTGGGAAGTGTTTGGTCATCCCAAGATTCCTCCATCACAGAAGAAGTACCACTCACAAAATAAGATTCAACAACGATTTTCTCCAAAGTGGTTGAAAAATGATGCGATTCGCACCCACGTCCCACAGAGGTATGTTGACCCCTACGAAGTCAGTGTCCATCATTGAACAGGGACAATCTGCATTACTGACAGTACTTTTGAGTGCACAGACGAAACCCATCCGATCAAAGATCTGAAAGTTAATTTCAAAGAAGCATTCTCCGTTAGGTTTTCACGGGATAAATTATTCCTGCACACAATAGCCGCACTGCCAACGTAACCTGTGATAACGATCAACTTTACTTTGCAAATGAGAGCTGGGAGTACCAACGAGGTTAACCAAAACAGGCAATTCATTAACCCGTAAATGGTGTTATTTGGCTGCTATACAACTGGTAGAATATGCATCGAGCCATCCAGACTGAGCTCGCACCGAGTTATAAACTGATCCGCAGATAAAATCCCAAAGCAGCACGAGGAACCAGCGCACTTCGGAAGACTGGCGGAGGCAGTTATACTGCACCGTGTCGACAGCTGCATGGTATTCACTGACCACAACAATGCATACTTCCATTGATTAGCTACCAAAAAGAAAACACCTTGCCGGGCTTGTGAAAACCATGCATCCAGCCGTATCAGGTAGGGAAATATTAAGGTTTGACTGGTGGTGCCATTTCGGGGCGGTTTATCTAGTGAGACCACAGAGACGTCTATGTCCTTTGTCGTGACCCCACTGGCTGTATCCCACTGGCTAACCGAGATGAATAATCTCATTGATTCAGTAAGTACAATAATGATGTGGGCTGTTTCAAACAATTCAATGCACTAGGACACCCCGGAAAGGTAAAATAACGCGATGGCGAAATTTTGACAATGTTCAAAAATAATCACTGGGTCCAAGAAGTTTACCTTAGAGGAAGTTGTGACGATTCATGATCAGCTCCCCAAATCGATATGACGCGAGCGAATGACACGCGCCTTGTCGAGGGACGCCCCAAAGTAGAGTCCTAATAGTCTGTTAGAGGGCAAATTGGTAAACTCACATTGATCACTGAGTCTTGAGTGGGTCTGGCGGACTGAAGGGCCATGGTCATACTCAAAAACCAGAATTACTTACGGGTGTTTTCCGCATGCTAGGTCTCACAGTCGTCTGAAAATTAAGAAAAATATTGCATTTGAGCCTGAAGTACATGTCAGTGGTACCGTAAAAGTGTAAGATGAGGGTTGGTACCGCGGACAGCCGTTACTCAACACGTTTGAGCAATGCTGGTGATAGCACATGGTGGTGCAAAGAGCGTTTCGGATTTGTAACGAAACTCGCAAGCTCATGTGCAGTGGGTGCCCATACAAGCAGGTACCAAGTCACATATTAAAATGTTCCATTCAGTGATGAGAATTCTGTTTCTTGAGGTATTTTAGATTAATTATAGGTAAGAACAAACTTAAAATTGGTACCTGTTTGTTCGGAGGACCGAGATTAAACAATCAAACCACTCAATAGATTTCACCAGTGTTCACGTCAGCAAAAATTTGGCCTCTCAAATACGGAAAGAATTCGCCTGCTAATAATAACGCAACTTGCGGTCTACAAAATTCCTTTAAAAGAATTTTACATAAAGTGAGAACACAATGCAACAGCGAGACACCATCGACATTAGACAGCCACGTCTGCAACGTCTAGTCTGAAGACGGTATATGGTTAGAACGACATCACCAGCATAGACTAGGCCTCCTCAAAAAGACGTTCTGAGAATACCTCCCCCCCCCCATACAAAATGATAGGAAATGGAGGGACTGGACAATCCTGGAAAACTGCCAGTAAAGTGACTGCAATAACAGATTTTATATATAACTGACTCCTTTGTTCTTCTTCGTTCAGGTTATATTGATTTTCGCAATTCCTATAGTGCCACCATCGATAAGGCTACAGATAAGTCAGTAAGTCGCACGGTCGACCAACTGTACAAAACCCCGCAGGAAGTCAAACTCCCCGGAATCCTATAACAGCAGTCAGTCCGGGTCTGTGCGATTCTGGCCGTTTCTAACTCCAGTGGATTTTGGCCTCCATTCTCGAGAGGTCGAAGCAATCAAATAACTTGGAACCCCGAATTCTATTAGCACTTCACCCCTTTGCAATTCACTTCATCCCAGTTTCCCAACCACTTACACCCCAAATTATCGAGACAGTTTAACGTTCACGCGTCGTTCACTTTTCTGACCAACGACATGGGTGTATTGCCCAGATGGTGAAGTCCTGTTCATGTTCCAACGAACCTAGCGCGACAGGAAGCCATCACGTTGTCCGGGTGGTCGGGCCCCTGTGCTGCAATGATCCTATGGGCTATAATGGCTGTAATTCATTTCCTAAAGGTTCAACAATGTCAGAAAGACCAACGGGGAGCAGCACGACGAAGAACAGCCTGTTACCGTACTGCGAGAAATCGTATTCTGAGGCAATCTGGAGGTGAAGCCCTACTGTCTTCTGCGATTGGATGGTAGAGACAGACAGAAAGAGTCGACCCTGAAAACCGCACACTCCGATTGCCCAACGGTTGACCGTGACCGAAGGTGCATTATTCAGTACGCTCTCTTGATCCCCAAGGTGCTAGATATAAGTAGAAAACGTTCAAAAGCATTGAGTACGAAGTTGAAGAGAAAGGGAGAGGGCGGACATTCTCACCTGGCAACACTGAATGTGGTGAATTCGGATGAGAACTTACCGCAGACACATACACGCCCATTGTAGGAGGAATACAGAGTCTTTATAAGAGACACTTCGCCAAACTGCCAGTTTTTGACGATTAAGTGTCAAAAGCAGGCAGAGAAATATGACCACCGTTGGTTGCCGGAAGGAATGGCGTTGTTCCGGCACTTGTTGCAAGGTAAAGATATGACCGATGCAACCTCGGCCAAAGCGACACCAAGCTTGATACTCGTGAATTCAACTCTCCTAATAATGAATTAATTAGTGTATGCTAATGATAGAAAACACCTTGGGAGCCATGGCTACCAGCGTGATACCCCGATTATTTGGCTTGATGTTCTTGCATTCTTTTTGAAAATAGGATAGACCGCCGAGGCGGTCATTTCGGTCAACACGTTTTGGAGGATCGCTAGGGTAGCGGGCAAGAAGGCTCAGTGGTTGGAGCGCAAATTTACTGACCGGAAGGTCCGTGGTTCGAACCTGATCTTTGCCCCTCGACTTCCCAGTCTACTTTTGAGCAACCTGGCAGTATCCCAGCACTCGTGCTTCCTTCTGCTGGCATAGCAGCTAGGCACCCAAAGGGTGCTACACCTGAACTATTTAGGATCATGTCATGACTACATAAACCATACCTCTGTATAGACCATTAACTCGTAATTCTCACTAATTTCTTAGCTCATGTATTACCGTTATTGGACGATAAAAGCGTACAATACGTCCTTCTGTTCTGTCTCCCTTCTAATCTCGCCCTGAAACTACTCGACTCTCGCAACAATCTAATCGTCTAATAACGGCAACATGATATCCGACACAGAACAGGAACCAATACACATCGCCGGACAAGGGGAGCTCCACGTAACACCATCAGTCCACCGTGATTGCTCAGAAACAACTCTTGCCTATTAACGATGCCTCATCATCCCATTCTAATGCAGATCCAGGAAATCACTTGGACATTCTTATCCGACAACAGCGCACTCACCCATATAATATGTGCAACAGAGAGGCGCAAACGACTCCATGTGACTATTGCAGCCTTTTATTTTTTTACACTCTCCGCAAAGTACATACTTATTCCAAGGCGGGGAGGATGTCATGACCATATAAACCATAACTTTGCATTGACCATTAACTCGTAATTCTCACTCTATATTTTCAGCTCACGTACCACCGTTATTAGACTATAAAAGCGTACATTATTATGTCTCCCTTCTAATCTCGTCCTGGATCTACTCAACTCTCGCAACAGGTAGGCACAAAAGATTCGCCACGTTCTTCGAGGAGTACAGGATACAAACCGTCTGAAATCGACGCTCTGTTGCGTGGAAGCAATGAGGTTGCATGCTGAGCTTCCGTTGTCGAAGACGGAGTTACCCTGATGTTCTTATTAGTTTATGTGATCCTTCCAGAGGTCCTGTTGATCGGGGACCGATGGGCTGTTCTTTAGTGTTCAGCTGATCGTTCAAGACGACGATTCTGTGAGCGAATCAAGGTACCATCCTCTTCAATAGCACCCACCTTCCTTGGATCAGTGGATCAAATTAGCTGGAACAGGGTGCGACTATTCCCCACTGCAGAATCTTTCTACACTTCTCGGGCTTTTGCGATCCACCAGAGATCCGTCATTCCTTGGACTCCGTTATTTGGTGTCTCATGGAACTGCGCGCGCCAGTAAAGTCGTCTGTTTCTGGTAGTTTTGCTGGCCTCAGTCAGAGCTGTCGATTAGGACGGGGTAGTTTTCACTAGGTTGTTTGAGTGATCAAGAGTAGACAGCACTGAAGCCAATGAGCATGACTTATTCCACTTTCCTCCAATCGTCACCCAAATTACCAATACAACCAATGTAACCGCCGAGTTTTGAACCTTCTCAGCCAGCTCAATGAGGTACTTTTGAATCAATGAATCACTCTACTTATCAGCTATACATCATGTATCATGATCACATCGATCCCAGCTTTGATCGATGGAGAATGGGAAAGTGTAGACCATATAGTCGAGCATCGGAATCGATGGCATTTTCAGTTAGTTCGGGAACTGGGTAGATACCAATCGAAGACGATAGATTTTATGGAAAGGCGCACTGAATGCGCGCTAGGGCCATTTCCGCCAGCCTCAATGATCATTGGTGAGTTGAGGTCCGCCTCCATCCAGAGAGGCGGGAGTTGTCGACCCGACTCAGTTTAATGATCACTATTTTC